TCCATAGCACTTTATATCTGGAGGGAAACAAGTCAGATTCTTACAGGGGCCCTGGGGAAGAAAAGACAAGATAGCAAAATTAACAGACAGCAATACAGAGTGAAGAATAGTAAACTGAATATAGCAAAGAAAAAAAAAAAAAAGACATTTCATGAAGCAATTTTAAGTAGCAGACTGGAAACACACTGACCATGTCATGGGAGTATGGGATCCCTAGGAAATGGTCAAAGCCCTGCTTGGTTGGGAGAAACATGCCATTATGCCCAACACCTAGATGCCACTTTCCTGTGACTGCTGTGGCATAACCCAGGGGCTTTAACACTTCAGCGATGGTGGTCTCATTGAGAGGAAGACCACCTATAGATCCTGGGTACAACACACCTGGGTAGATTCCTGATCGGGTCTGATAGCGACCTGTCAACAATGATGCCCTTGGAAACAACCAACAAGCAAGGCAGTTAATTAACAGAGCAGTGGAAACATTTAAAGGCAACTAGGCAGCTATCGATTATTTTAGTAACTGAGTAATCTATTTATTATTCTATTGATTAATTGAGTAGTTGGATAAGAAATACTTTTGTCTTATTAATGAGCAATAACAAATATTCAAAAGGGACAGAGCACAGGTCTTTCAAGATGAACTGCTTATTGGTTTCCATTTTAGAAACTGCAATGTTTTCAAGTTTTACTGCATACAACATTTGTGCCATAACAGATGTATGATGGTGTAGATGTTAATAATTAAGATTAATAATAGTTCAGTGCTCAGCCTAACAACCTTCAGGTCAGTGGCTCAGAGTTTTATTGCCCAAGTACATTTATATTAGCCTGTGAGAAAAGCTTTTATTTTTATATTTTAACCTTTTAATGCAATGAAACGAACACAATATTTTATATAATTTCACTTTCAATCTGAAAAATGTTACGAAAGCTTGAAATTATTATGGTCTCGTATACCCCATGCCCCCCTTTAGACTCCATGTAAAACAGTACGGCCGCCGACAGCCTTCAGCCTTCAGCATGCCGTATAATTTAACCAGTCAGGTATCAGACTAAGTTAACAGTTCATTTACATATTTTAATACAACTTCTGCAGGCTACAAAGTTCACTTTTTATTCACGTCGGAGTTAATCAGATGCTTTGGTGAAGGACTCCCGCTAGCTTTTTTCCAGGAAAAGGTTTTAATGGTTTTAATGGTGAGTACAGGAAGAGTGCTGCTGTTTTGGACACTAGAAACATGTTTTCTGTGTTTTTGTTTAAAATTGGAGGCTGTGTGGTTAATATTTGTCACAATGTTTATTTACACACTGCTCCTAAATACGTTTGTATTGTAGGTCTGTCTTTAGTTGCGAATGTGGGTGAAACGCTCGTGTTTACATCATTTTATACATACAGACAGACGTTTTATACCTACAGAGCTGTTCCATTAAAAGAAGTATCAAAACAATGAATTTGTGTTGAGAAGTTTACAAAATTTAATTATTTGAATTACTCAATGAATCGTTTCAGCCCAAGAAAAATTTCATGTACTTGATGAAAACAATAGCAATCTCTTCTTCTTTTGGTTGTTCCCTTTAGGGGTTGTCACAGCAGATCGCTTTCCTCCATCTCACCCTATCCCTTCTGTCACACCAACCCACTGCATCTTTTCTCCTGCCTGGCATCTCCAGCTCCATCTTTAACATCCTTTATTGAAATGGTCCTCTACCCCTCACTATTCCTCATCTGAATATGTCCAAACCATTTCAACCCTGCCTAACTAACTTTAACTAATCAA